GTGTTTTTTTTTTTTTTTTTTTTTTAATAGGTGTGACATGCCACCTACGGGAGTCCCTGGTCCTTTTTTTGTTGCTGAATAGATGATACCTGAATTGCAGTGGATGTCAAGTACAAGGCACCCAAACCAGCAAAATAAAAACTTCCATAGCACAGAATAGTTTCTGGAGTTCCATATGGTTCCATGGAGGGAGGTGACAGGAGGGTTCAGGAACTCAAGAGGGGAGCAGGGAAGGATGGTTTACATTATGGTCTTGTGTATTGGGGGGGTTTAGGGGTAAGATGATGTGGAGAGGTGTGTGTCGGGGGCGTGGGGGGGAAGAAGTCTGTGTAACCTGACTTCTGTAGGTTGGGGGACATGGCACTCACTTCTGCCATGTGAACAGGTGGCATCATACTTTAATTAAAAATGTAGGCAGCAGCATACATCAGGGCCTTGGCTTGCTGGAATATTTGACCTTGGTCAAGTAATCATTTGTTAGGTGATATTACCTACCCTGTTGGCCAGTAGACTGACTTACCAACTCTGTTAACATTTTCTACAAAGTTTTAAATTTTTATATGTTAAATTAACTTGTCATTGTGAGTACAAAATTTGGTAAACCAATATAGAGTTACGTTCATGGTTTCTCCAAACAGTTCTGGTGTTTCTGCTGTAGCTCACCGTTTGGATAGAAAATTAGACTAGTCATGTTCACTGCTGCTCTGTGAACGCAGTATGGATAGCAGAGAAAAAATAATTTCATGCTTTATGCTTTAAAAAGAGTGAAGGACAGCAGAAGTAGGCACTGGAAATGTTCTTTAAGGAGAAAAACAAAATAGTGTATGTGGCAGAAAGAGAGGCTAATTGAAATCCTTTGCCCTTGCGAGAGCCATAGTGGAACTCATGGCAGGATGGCACCTTAGAAACTAACCCAGATGTTGTAAAGTTGAAGAATAGAGACAGAAAACTGCCTGTCTCTAGCAGTTAGTGATACAACATTTCAGATGCAACCCATGTAGGTTTATACTAAAGAGAGATTCACGGGAGGATTTCAGGATAGCATACTGGAAGTAATCCCAGCATTACTGGGATAATCCCCCACCAATTGGTGTAGGGGAGAAGAGGCTGGAGCAGAGCTGAGACTTGGCTTTGTGCCCCTGGATGTTAATGATGCCCTGTGACCTTTTTTGTATATATCTCTAGCTAGTTGGTTTAATTTTTGGACTAGTTAGTATGTTTTGTTTGTTTTTTAGCTAAGCTGTGAAACTTATACCACTGAGTAATTGACAGTTCTATTGATGTTTGAACTAGAAAATAATTTATTTCTCTTTGTAAAAAAAAAAAAATAATTAAAAAAACCCAGTAACATTCTGTCTTATCCTGTTAGGTGTAAGAATTTGTCTGTATCTTTCTGGAATTCCTATTGGATGCTGCCCTCTGATGTTTGTGGAATGAACTGCTTTTGGGAAGCTGCTTTTAGGTAGGCTCTGATATTAATGAGAAAATTGTTAACTCAATTGCAGACCGGTGCAGCTAATATATTTGGCTATATAACAAACTGGCAAGTTAAGCAAATTTTAGAATTGTTTCAGATATGTTTTTCTTGTGCTTATAGTGCAGTTATTTTCACAAGCTGGTCTTTCTCCCTGTGCCTTATCAGCAGTGCTTCTGAGCATGCAGCATTTGTTTCCTTGCAAATATAAATGTTTCCATGCAGAAATAGAAAATGTTTGCTTCGGTTTTCTTATAATTCTTAAAATTAAGTTTTCTACCAAGGTTTGGAAAAATCCTAGACAGAGATCATAAGAAACAGTTCTTGGGTTACCATTTTAATAAACTGATGAAATATATTACAATCAGCCATGATTTCTGTAGTTTAACTTGATATGGAAACTGGATTAAGTTCCTTTCCAATTTCTCATTGTTCCAAGTCTTAGATTTATTCCTTGAAACAGCAAATTCCTTATTAAACATTTTTATTCTCTAAGATTTAAGGCATAGGTACTGCATGAAAAGAATGCTGAACTAGCTTTATACCTTTAGTATGTCCTGAACATGCCAGTAACTCCACAGTATATTGAAGTTGGTGGTATGGCTTCTTAGTGAATAATTTATATATGTTACTGTAGTTCTGCAGATGGCTTAACTGGTAGTGTAAGAGTGGTGTAGCCATGGTGGTCCAGAAATTATGTGAGGGGCCAGAATTTCTTAGAGTGATAACTGATATATTGGACCAACTCTATAGTTGGGATAGTTAGGCAAGTTTTCGAATGCAAGACGTTCTTCCTCAGGTCTAATCAGAACAAGCCAGGCATAGAATATTAAAAAGCTCTTATAAAAGCAACAAAACAAATAATTATCAAATCAGATAGGGGAACAAGTAGACAGTTTTGGGCAAATGCATCTGGATTTGCCCATTGTCCCCTCTAGTTTTAATTTTCAGGTGTTTTAAGCTTTGAATATTCCCATTGCAATGGCCAGTTGGGAGGCTTACAGGACATACTACTGTATGTCTTTCTTCATATCTAGGGGCCTACTCAATTTGTGATTTAATGGATTTTGTGAAAATTGTGAAATGGGGCATTGTCCGTGAAACTGGTCAATGTATGCTAAATCCGTGGGGGGAAAAAAACCCCTAAAAATAAAATGCTGGCTCCTCAGTAGGAGTTGGTAGTCTTCATGGCTGCTGTGGCCTGGTCATGCAGCCCACAGTGGGGAAGGGCAGAGGTGGGGCTGCCAGCATGAAAGCTGCCGCCCCTGCCCCTTGCCACCGATTGGAACCACTAGGGCCACTTGGTCAATCAGAGGCATGGCGGTGCTCTGTCATGATAAGCCCACGAAACTGGCAGCCAGCTCTGCAATCTGCCTATGAAATTGGCCGCCCACCTCCTCAATTTGGGTAAGTCCCTATTTGTAGCCTATTAACATAATTCCTTTGCACATCTGTAGAGCTGACTCTGGTGTAATATAAAGCATTTGTTCCTAGAGTGAGCTGTTTTCTGTGCCAAACTGGACCTAGGTTATATAGCTCTATAGGTATCAATACAGGGGACATTGGACAGGCCTTTTTTTGTTGTTGCTGTTATGAAATCATAGTAAAATCTCTCTCAATTGTTCTGTATTTCTGACACTAAAAATATTTAAACACATGTAGAACTTCCAACCTAATCAGGTTTCTGACTTCTGCCACGTCATTTTTCACAGTCTGCTGTACTGTTCTGTGCTCTTTTTGGGAGAGTTATAGGGGATTGGAGAAAATGTGGAAGGCTAACACTTTGGCTTCATTAAACAATGTTTAGTGCATAACACTTTAATAGGGTAAATTCCTTACTGGAAAATAAAAAGTAGACTAAAATTAAAGGTACATATTGGAATAGGACAGAAATTGAAAAAAAAGATTGAGGAAAAGTTGATGGCAGTATCTGCTGGTTCACTGAGACAAGACTAGGACACAAACTATGCATGTTCCTCTGGTATGCGCTGTACTTCTTCAATTAGAAGATGAAGTTTTTCCCACCATTTAACATGGAATGGGGAGGAGCCCCTCACCTTCCAGTTGAGCATGAGGTGGTGGGGGTGGGAGGGAGGGGAGGGCACTTTACCACTTC